GAGGCGGGGGCGGGGCCGGGGGCGGGGCCAGGGAAGGGAGCGCGGGGAAAAGGAGAACGGGGAGAATTCCAGGGGAAAATCCCGTCGCCGGTGGAATTCCCGACCAAAGGGGACGGAAGGGAGGGGGCAGCGCGGGGGGGACCCCGCGGGGCGGGAACTCGGCGGGAATTCGCGGCTGGAACCCGAGGGCGATCCGGGAGGATTTGCTGCCCTTGGCTCGGCGGCCGCGCGGGAATCCCGAATTCCCGCTCCTTGGGCTGCCCGCGCCCCATCCCAGCGTTGTCCCGGGTACTGGGATACCCCACCCCGAGGTGCAGCCGCCCCTCACCGGGTAAAGGTGGGAGTGAAGTCGCTCCGGATCCACCCGAGCGGAAAGAAAAGAGGATAAATCCGGTGAAGAACGGGGACGAGTCGGGGCAGATCCGGCGGAATTTGGGGGGTCGGAAAGTCCGTGTTGTCCCCCCAGAGGGGCCTGTGGGGCAGAACCTCCCCCTGTGCTGGAGGATCCCCTCGGGCTCGCGGTTGTTGGGGTGGGTTTGGCTTCAAAAACCTTCAGAACACCGAATTCAACCCGAATGTTGTGAATTTAACCCAAATTTCAATGGATTTACCCTCCGAGCGGGGGAATTGCTCGTGAAGGGTCCCCGGAACGGGATGGGACAGGCGGCGGGACGGGGATCCCAGAACGGGACACACGGGTTGGACGGGGGGGCCGGAACGGGACACAGGGGGCGGGCTCGGGGGTCCCAGGATGGGATCGGGATCGGGGGTCCCATGGTGGGACAGGGGTCGGGTTCGGGGATCCCATAATGGGACAGGGGAGTCGGATTCGGGGGTCCCATGATGGGGTCGGGCTCAGGGGTCCCGTAACGGGACAGGGGTGGGGCTCGGGGGTCCCAGGATGGTTTTGGGCTCGGGGGTCCCATGGTGGGACAGGGATCGGGCTCGGGGGTCCCATGATGGGGATGGGCTCGGGAGTCCCGAAATGGGACAGGGGGGGTCGGGCTCGGGGGTCCCATGATGGGGTCGGGCTCGAGGGTCCCGTAGCAGGACAGGGGTCGGGTTCGGGGGTTCCATGGTGGGCTTGGGCTCGGGGGTCCCAGAACAGGGCAGCCGGGTCCATAACGGGGGTCGCGGGTTCCGGGGGCACCGAGAGCCCCCCAAACACAAAGGGCTGATGAAACCCCCCCGTTTGTCACGTGACACGGTGGGAGGGGCATGGGCGGGGCCTGGTGGGCGTGGTCAGGAGTGTGGGCGCGGCGGGAGCTCTGCGGGGCCAAACTCCGCCCCCTCGGCCCAACTCTCGCGAGAGCGCGAATTGGCGGCTGCCATGGCAACGGGGACGCCGGGATTGGGATGGGAGGGGATGGGATGGGATGGGATGGGATGGATGGGATTGGGTTGGGGTGGAATGGGATTGGGATGGGGTGGGGTGGGGGAAAGGGGATTGGTTTGGGATGTCCCAGGATTGGTTTGGGATGTTCTGGGATTGGTTTGGGACCCGATGGGGGTGGATTTTAACCCAAATCCGTGTGGATTTAACCCAAATTCCAATGGATTTAATCCAAATTCATGTGGGTTTAACCCAAATTCCACGACTTGAACCCAAGTTTCAATGGATTTAAATCCAAACCCGTGTGGATTTAACCCAAATTCATGTGGTTTTAACCCAAATTCCACGACTTGAGCCCAAATTTCAATGGATTTAAACTCAAACCCGTGTGGATTTAACCCAAATTTCAGTGAATTAAACCCATATTTTGTGAATGTAACCCAAATTTCAATGGCTTTAACCCAAATTCGTTTGGATTTCACCCAAATATCCACGGATTTAGCCCAAATCTCTGTGAATTTGACCGAAATTCATGTGGAGTGAAATAAAATTTCAATGGATTTAAATGAAATTTGGGTGGATTTAACCCAAATTTGGGGAATTTAAACTCAATTTCAATTACTTTAACCCACATTTGTGTGGATTTAGACCCAAATTCCTATGAATTTAACCCAAATTTCAACTGCCTTAATTCAGATTTGTGTGGATTTAACCCAAATTTGTGTTGATTTAACCCAAATTTGTGTTGATTTAACCCAAGTTTCGTGACTCAAACCTGAATTTCAACAGATTTAAACCCAAATTCACGTGGATTTAACCCGATTTTTGTGAATTTAAGCCAAATTTCATTAATTTAACCCAGATTTCAATGGATTTACCCCCTTCAGGCCACAACTCCCCCTCAAGTTTAACCATTTCTTTTATTTTTCCACTTAAATATTCTCTTTAAATACAGCAGAGTCCTGGGAACGGCGGGAAAGCAGGAAAAGGGATCAGAGGAGAAGCTTTGGAGTCA